TGCAAACCCCCCAGTTCAGGAGGAGAAGTTGGATTTGCCGAGGCCAGGGGTAGCAAAGAGCTTGGACAGGAATCTGCACTAAACCTTTGACACACAAGACATTTCCCTTTCAGGCCAAGGCAAACAAAGGAAGGAAGTGTCTGGGACTTTTAAAGCGACCTAGTGGAGACAGGTAAGGGCAGATAAGGGCTGAAGGAAGAGTGGGTTGGGCAGGGGAAGTATCTAGTTTTGCAGATTTGGTGGAGTCCTCAGGGCTCTGCGAGCCAGGGGAGGTGAAGCTGCCCCGGGAAGGGCCGTTTGCAGAGGGAGAAACGGGCTCCAAAGTGCTGAGGGAGGGCTTTCTGCTCATCCCCCGCCTTTTTTTTCCACGCACTTTGCAGAGTCCTCCGTGCCCGAGGCTGGCAGGACCTCCCTGCTCACCCACTGATCAGCACCAGGCTCTGGGAATCCTCCTGCCAAGCCCTGCTGGGCTCGGGTGCTCGGGCATTCCGGACCGTTCCTGGCAGATCCCACCATCCCTCAGCTTTCCTTTGGGGTGGAAGAGCCTTTTTGCCCCTTCCCAGCGCTCAGATCCCTCAAAAAACGAGCAGCTGGAGCTGCTCCTGCCCTGCAGAAGGGAGAAAACCCCTGTGTGATGGAGGGATTGAGGAAAATCACATCATTGCAAAAAAAAAAAAAAAATTAAAGCACTTCATTCCAGCACTGGGAATGGGACCAGCAAGGAGTTTTTAGTGGGATATCACTTGGGATGACAGCACATCCTGCACCAGCTCAGCTGCTGAGGGACCCCGGGCATCCCCCCCCCTCAAGCCTTTCCCAAAATAACATCCCTGATTCCTCAATCCAAAAAGGATTGCTGGATTTAAAAAGACCTTAAAGATTTTAAAGATTTAAAATGCCAATGCCAGGGTTAGCCCGGCCTGGGCGGGGTTCATTTTCCCCTCAGGGTTTCTGTTCCTCCTCGGAGTTACCTGAGTGGTGACCCCACAGGTCCCCTGCCCCAACATCCCACCTGGATCGTTTTGCCCTTCGACCCCAGCTCTTCCCACCCTCCCCAAAGTTGCTCCAGTTTCCTTTTTTAACCCTTTTTTCTCCCTCAGCAGGACTCAGTCAGGGCACAGTGGAGGGGGGAGGCCCTGGGGGACCCACAGGAGGGGTGGAAGGTGATCAGCGACTCACAGATCACCCCCCCTTGGCAACCTGGGCTTGTCTTTTTGGGGTGTTTTGGGGGCTGTTCGATGAAACCCACCCAGGGACCGGTTCCCCAAGCCCTCCTCGTGCTCCTGGCCGGGGTTGTGCTGCTCTCCCTGCCCCAAATCAGCACCCTGTGGGTGCTCTGGAGCTTCCCAGCCCTGCTGAGCAGCAAAAGGCTCGGGGGTTTTATCGTCCCATCAGAGCAGTTGGGAGACAGTTGAGTGTCTCTCTGGGCGCTGATAGGAGGGGAAGGCTTTGCTCTGGCAGATAAGGGGCCAGGGGGAGGCCGTTGGGTATCAGGGGGTCTCCCAGACACACCCTGAGCACGTGTGGGGTGCTGGGGCCTCACGTAGGCACGGGGGGCAGTTAACTGAACCCTCGCTATCATCCACCTCCCTCTCCCTGGGATTGCTTCTCCTGCTGATCAAGCCCTTGCAGGGACCTCCTTGGCTCGCCAGGCTGTAAACAGACAGTCAGATGCTCGTGGGGTTTTGGTTTTTTTTTTTTGGAGGTGGATTCAAGCACTTTCAGGAAGGTGTTTCAGCCTAAGGTGTTTTTTTTTTTTTTTTTTAGAGCTTCACGAGCATCCCCTGGGAGGTTTGGGGGAACCAGGAGCATCTGGAGCGCAGCTCTTCCCTGCCAGCTCCAGGCAGAGCTCCCCGAGTCAGCCCAGGGCAGAAATCCCACCTTGGGTTGGTTCAGGGTCTCCCCACGCTCAGGAATCAGCAAGACAGACCACCTTTACCCAGGGGAGTCAGTGGGTCCAGTTCCCAGGAGGAATCAGGGAGCGTTTGATAACAGGGAGGGCGAATATTTGGGGTGAGGCAGGGGCTGCTTTTGCGCAGCGTGGGGTTCGCAGTTTCGGCGTCTGTTGTATAAAAACACTTTTCATTTTAAACTCCCTTTTCATTGTAAACTCCCCCGGGTTTCCTGGGCCCCTCTCAGCTCCATTCAGAGGGGGATGAATGCCCTCCCCGGGCACCTCCTGCTCTCTCGAGTCCTGCCCCGTTTCCCCTCCCTGTTTACACCCCCTTCTCCAAATACAGATTTTTTTATTATTATTATTATTATTATTTCATCCCAATCGAGGGGGCGGGGACTGGGGAACACAGTTAAAAAAAAAAAAACATTAAAAAAATCCAGAAATCTAAAAAGCGGCTCAAAAGCATCGCGGGCCGGGGAGGGAAGGGCAGTGTCATCCGCGGGGATCCTCTGCCCTCTGCTGGAACCCGGCCCTGCAGCAGCATCAATCAGCCCCCTTTTCCCGGGAATTTATCCCTACAGACCATGTCGAGCCTCCATTCCATGGATTATCACCAGATCATCCCAGTGGAAGATGGGAACAAGGCTCAGCTTCCCCGTCCTGCCCAGTGAGAGAGTCCAAAGGGGAGCGGATTCATCTCCAAAACCTGGAGGGGTTAAAGACCCAACCTGGTCCGAGCCCTTCCCGTTCCTCATCGGGGACTTTACAACTCACAAGTGTTTTTTTCCCAGCTCTGGGCCAACAGAGCAGGATTTCCTTTCGATCAGCTCGGCATTCGATCAGCTTCATTTGATGTTTTGAAGTCAAGGACTGTTTCCAAGCCATCAACAAAATATTTGT